GCATACAGCTGGCCCCTAAACCTCTACAGTAACCAACTGTTTCATCAAATGGCACGTAGCCGAACCCGTCGCACCTCTCAGCCAAGGTTACTGACCAGAACTAGGGGTGCCGATTTTTGCATACGATTGAAGGGCGGTGTAGCCGAGGGCCCGATGACTTACCATCCAGCCCCATTTGTTTCACGACGGGCTTAGTCCATTGAAGGGCGGTGTAGCCGAGGGCCCGATGACTTACCATCCAGCCCCATTTGTTTCACGACGGGCTTAGTCCATTGAAGGGCGGTGTAGCCGAGGGCCCGATGACTTACCATCCAGCCCTATCTGTTTCACGACGGGCTTAGTCCATTGAAGGGCGGTGTAGCCGAGGGCCCGATGACTTACCATCCAGCCCTATTTGTTTCACGACGGGCTTAGTCCATTGAAGGGCGGTGTAGCCGAGGGCCCGATGACTTACCATCCAGCCCTATTTGTTTCACGACGGGCTTAGTCCATTGAAGGGCGGTGTAGCCGAGGGCCCGATGACTTACCATCCAGCCCCATTTGTTTCACGACGGGCTTAGTCCATTGAAGGGCGGTGTAGCCGAGGGCCCGATGACTTACCATCCAGCCCCATTTGTTTCACGACGGGCTTAGTCCATTTCATTTTTGCGGAAAGTGATTTATAGCGCGGCGAACGCCGTCGGCTCGTGTAAATGTCACCATGACACGGGCGGCCTGCTTTGGGCAAAGTCAAAATATTTGGATCTTGATTTCACTTTATTTAGCCTCAAGGTGTAGCAAATAGTGACCTCATAGCAAAAAACCTTAGTAAAGGTAGCTCAGGTTCTTTTCGAAGATAACAGATGTGTCTTCTTTTGCCCGACTATGGACAGCTAGACGGGCTGGTCCGGCTAACCTCTGTGAACCTGCTCTCGTGCGACACCGACTGACCTGTCAAATGTGCAACATCTAGAGACATTTGTCCTACGGTGGGCCAAATCTGACTTTCCTGCTCCCAATGTTGGCATTTAAACGCAGATCACAGGCGGAGGACTGTCCTAAAGCGTACAGAGTGCCAAGCCGCCTGGTAATCAAAGTTTCGAATGAATCTAACCAATCAGAATCCCTGTTTCACCTGCCAAACACTGGAACGTTTGATAACAACGCGAACCCGTCCGCCAGCCGTCGGGTTTTGAATTGTTACCCGGTCGCCGTGCCTACCGATAGGAGGCAATCAGAACAACGTTTACTTGACTGCACAGACCGTAATTCAGTCGCTTTCGTATGCTGACGAACGACGCAACACGAACGGTAACTGGGGCGGCCAAATCGAGCGTCATCGGCACGGGCCAATCATCGCCCATCGTAGCGCAATAGAATGCATTCCAAGTGCCCGTCGCGATGAGACGATATTTACACGTTTAATTCTATGTCATCTGACCGGTCTGGCACACAACCCAACGTCACCATTTCCAAAAGCCCCATTAAACGTTGGTTCTGACGCATATGCTAGCAAAGAAAAGTGTCAGCAATCGCCACGAGGCTGACAAAAATTCCTTAAAAACACGCTGCTATTACGATACCCGTAGGCCCGCCACAACCCGCCCTTCAGCACACGGCCGACCGCAGGGTCGATATTTTAATAGCTGTCAGCGTAAAAACTCGGAACACACAATACCCTACACTGCTGCGCTCTGCCTATAGTTCCTCAACAGCGAACGCAACAAAATCACACCCCGGACAATGAATGGTCAGCGCTTCAACAGATCAGCGCAATGTCACGGGCAGCCCGCCCGGTCAAGGTCACCGACCCGTGACCCGCGGTGCGACGACGGCGTCGGTCTGACGACCGGACGGCAGGGCTTCGCAGGTCGTGTGGGACGGCGGGTAACACGGCGGGGCGACGCATAGTGTACCGTGCAGTTGCTCCTGCTCGGCTCGGTGCTTGTTTATAGCTCCACGACACGCGGCGGCGTCGTGAATGAACGGGCTGGTAGCTATGACGGCAAACACGCACGGAACACACAGCAGTTACAGCAGTTCACGCAACGGAAGCGGGGGGCCCCAACAGATCGTGTACGTTGAGAGCGGTGATGATTTGGGCTTTCGGGCGCTTCGATTGCAGGTGGCCGTATTGTTGGATTAGACCCGCGTCCGGTTCGATACACACAACGGTCAAAGGGGTGGGAAGGCCCGGAGAGTGACGGAGCGGGCGAGTTTTTCACTGCAGCGGTAGGCGCATGCCCGTGACAGTGCAGGCGGCGAAACGCAAGGGAGCTATCCCGTCCCATCGGACCACACTTTGATGTGGAGCGCGGACACTTTAAAACGGAAAAAGCTCACATGACAATGGTTCCCAGTTTTAACTTTATATCCCTCAAGTTTTCCAGGATAAAATCCGAAGGTTCTAAATTTCGTAACGTCGATAGTTCGTGACGTAAAAAGTTCGTATATGATAGCGTTCGTATGATAAGCTCGCGGGGAAGAAAATCATTACGAAAATGTTCCTAGAAAACCCGTGTGGAAAAAGACGCACGCAAATGTTCGTGCGCAAATGCTTGTGCATAAACGCTCATCAGGGATTAAGTTTGTTTAAAAGTTCGTTTATCCCCCACTCTGACGAATCTGTCGACGCTTCCCGGGCGCGTACCTGACGCCATCTGACGGCCGCGGCAGGAGTCAGCTGGCTAGTGGAACACGGCGGGCCTGCGCGCGACACCGCCCGAACCACGCTCGTCCCGGGCGCGAACCTGACGCCATCTGGCGGCGGCGGCAGGAGTCAGCTGGATACCGATACCGCCCGAACCACGCTCGTCCATTTAGTGATCAGAGTTCAGAGAGAAGGATGTACCCAACGTACCAACTTTGATTAGTGCTTTATTTTCATCCGGCCCAGCACTGTCCGAGACTATTATTACCACTAATCTGCACGCCCGATGGAGCTGAAAACTGCGCGGTCGACGGCTGCACCTTAAATTATCCCACGAGGACTAAATTTCAGTGAAATCTGAGAGCTGGCGGTGCATGATTTGGGTCCCGGGTGATCGACTTAGCTTGGATCCCCGTCCCTCTACCACCGAAATGTCCGGCATACAATTTGTTAGCATACGATCAATATTGCCGAGCTTTTACGTGCGTACTTTTATTAAGCGAACTTTGTCGGTTATTCACACTTGCCTACATACCATTGTTTTGACAAACAAATGCGTACGCAATTTATGCGTCCGACCTTTTTCCGTGCTAACTTTTTCAATTTGCGCATTTTACACGGAGCTTTAAACCAAACGAACATTTCGCTACTATCTTAAGTGTTTCCGCCAGGCAATCTTTACACATAACGTACATTGGTTTACGAACAATTCCGTACGTACTTCCCCCCCCCCATGACTTTTGCTCCGAAATCCGAAATCCCCAGCCCCCCTGTATACTAGTCCTGTCCAGAGGGCATTTTGGGGTGGCTCAGTGATGCGACGCGATGACTGCACTAAACCCTAACAAAAAGTTTCACTTGCTTGGCAAAATGCTGCCCAGCTGACTTTGTGAAATGCTGCGTGCTGTGTCGATGCAAAGTGTGTGCAAAGTGCACGCACTGATGCAACTGTGCGTTTCCATGGAGCACAACGGTTCACACTGAACCCAGCCCCCCAGACACGCTGGGAATGGGAGCGGCAAGCCACCACGGCTGGACGAACGACATGCAAAACACTGCTCAAAATATGCCTTCATGTACCTTTCGGCCCCGCCAGCAATTATCTGGACTGTGCGTCGGCACCACGCAGTTCGAGTTCACGCGGCCGCATCCCGACTTCCGCTGCTGCCGACACCTTCGTCCACGCCAGACCGTTTTATATTGCTGTATTTCCTAACGTTTTCCCATCATATTTACAGTGAGGCAAGAAATACAGAAACTATCAGACAAATGTCGAGCACAGTTTGAGAATAAAAGCATCGCAGAGGGCTTTTGCTGCGGGGATTTGATACGCACCGGTACAAAAGCGAGGACTACCATACGCACGTCACGGGGGCTGCTGGCTGCCCAGCAGAGCGACGTCCCAACCGAGCGTGTCAGACGGCTACCAGACAGTTACCAGACGATAGCTGGACCGAGACGGGCGGGCGCCGGTCTCGGGCGGCTCGGCGGCCGGCTGCCGGTCGGGCGCGCGGCTCAGCGGCGCTCCGTCGGCGGTCGTCTATCAGGGCCGCGACCCATCCCGCCGGTCGTGCCGGCCGCCGCGGCGCCGCCCTCCACACCACGGGAAGACCAGCCGCGCCAGGCGCGCGCACGCACCACTCCCGGCACAGTCAAATCCATAAAGCATTAAACAAAACGAGATGAGAGCGGATACAAAATGGCGACTGGGCAGCCGCAGCGGGCAGGCCTTTCCTGTAGCAGCACGATACCGGGAGAACGGGCGGGCAGACAGGCTCCACGGTTTCGATTAACACCGTTCCGATTAAAACCGCCGGGGCCCTTCGGCTGACGCCGCCGTACGAAGGGATCGACTGAGCTCGCCAGTGTTACAAACTACATCTACAGCACGCCCACATACAACTGTTAGCAGTCGACCGGCGCGGCGACACGCACGCAGGCGCGCGCGTGCACACGCGCAAAAACGTCTCGCTTGCACGCGCACGTGTAAAACGGGTTTTCTATGTTTGGGTTCCAAACTGTAACAAAATAATATTCGCAACACAAAGAGTGTCCGCCGGCCGGGCTCCGATCGACCTGCCGCCTGGCGGCCTTCCGTGGCGTAGCCGGCGACCGCGCGGCCGGGAGCGCCGCGAAAATCGGATAAACAAGGTCCTACCGCGATCGGCGCCGCGCAACTACCAGCATGCTGAGAGATTACATGCCGCTGCGAGCCCGGGGCCGCGCGCGCCGCGTCCAGGCGGCAGCGGCCGTCACTGCGCCCAGCACGGCCGCCATCTTGTGCTGCCACGCCGAGCGCGCCGCATGCCGCCGCTAAGCTCGCGGCCGCGGGCCGTCACAGTGCGGGCGCGACGGGCGGCGCGTCCGCCGCGGCGCCCGCGCGCGAGCGGTGCGGCGGGCGGCCGGCTCACCAGTTGGCCATGCCTGGCTTGTTCAGTGTCATAAAGTAGATCTGGCAGGCGGAGCCGCCCTTGGCCGACGAGAAGAACACCTGCCGGAGCAGCGGCGTGAGCGGAGGGCGCTGGAGCGTGGGCCAGGCCTCGCACCGGCGCAGGCAGCGGACGGACGACAGACGGCAGCGAGGCGTCGCGACGGTGTCACAGACCCCGTTCGTGCAGCAAACGAATGAGCACGGCGCTTACAGGCAATAGCGGCTGTCATCGGGACGGCCCGTGCCTACGGTCACAGCAGGGGCGGCTGGGTGGGGCGAAGACCCGGACCCGCAGCACCAGCCAAGTTTCGGTCCTCCTTACCGCACGGGTCACAGGCCCCCAGCCAAACACGCTCAGTCTCGCCGAGTGCCGCGCTGGACCCACACGTCCCTGATCCGAACACGTGTCTGGCAGGATTGCCTGGGGCTCATTGCGGGCTGTCATGTTCACCGGGTCCAAACCATCACGGGCCACTGGGGCCGTTGCAGTACCTCCTACTACGAGCCCCGCTACGACAGGCCCTCACCTATATGGAACTCGAGACAAGCCAGACGAGAACCAACCTCCTCTTCCAACCGGAATAACCAACCTCTTCTCCCCCCCCCCCCCCCCCTATCCATCTTCCTCGACCCCGGCGCTCCAAGGTCGCCGACCTACCTTGTCGTTTCTCTCGCAGAGGAACTTGAGCTTCTGCGCCTTTTTGTGCATAAACACGCCGTCCAGATGTCCCGTTTCGACGGAGCGAATCTCGATGGCCTTGTTGCCCCAGCCCATGATCTGGCCGGTGCCGATGTACGCCACGGACGTCGGCATCTCGCCCCACTGCACGATGATGTTCTTGGAGACCTGTCGACGCGACACCGGTGACGTCGGGGCTGACCGGGCGGCGACGGAGCACGCGTCGCGACGCCCACACTCGGGGCCGACCGCAGCGCCATCCCGCGGCGAGAGCGGCCGGCGGGAGCGTACGCGGCCGCTCAGAACCCGACCGGCGGCGAGGCGGCGGAGACGGGCCATGTGGAGCCGGCTCCCGGCTGAGCGGCGCCGCCCACCGTCCGTGGCGGGCGTCCGACGGCCACAGCGCGGGGTACGGGTGCCCACCGCCCACCTCTCCCCGCACCCAGTCAGAGCACGGGCGGTGCAACACGGCAGCGCAACTGCGGCCAATCGTCCTTAAAGCAGACACTGCATACGACGCTTTCGCCGTTACGAGTGAGAGCTTTCTCTCACCTTGCCGTTGGTGTTGACGTAGACGCCCTCGTTGTCATAGCAGAGCAGCAACTGGTTGCCGTTCGTGTTGGGCAGAGTGACGATCGTGTGGGGCACGATCGGACCCTGCGCCTGCAGGGGGCGGGGCACAGCGATGTCACGACGGGTCACAGCCGCTTCCCTCCCAACACCACAGCGGCGGCGGCCCCGACCCGGCGCCGCCGCCGCCGCCGCCTCCGGCCGCACGCAGCCCTCAGCATCGACCTCAACACATCCCTGAACATCAGGGCTCGCCGCCAGCTCGTGTCCGCGGCGAACACAACAAACGGAACACCGTGCGTGCCATGTACGGCATTCTCCAACATCTCGGCCCAGTGTCCCCTCGCGCGGCAGCCGGCAGCGAGTGCACGGAGGACACGTGCCGCGACAGACGGCGACACTCCGGCGCCGGCGAACGCGGCCCGGCCCGCCGCCGCGCCCCCCAGCCACTCACGTGCTTCGGCAGGTAGATGTCGTACACGGAGGCCGAGTCGAGGTCGACGGCGTGGAAGCCGTCGCAGGAGCCGTAGATGACCTTCAGCCGGGTGTTGTCCTCGACGGTGAGGTCGACCAGAAGCGGCCGGTGCGCCAGCTCGCCGAAGCTCTGCCGGCGGCGGCGCGGCCGTCAGCGTGCCAACAGGGCAGACGCGCCCACCGGCAGCCGCGCTGATTTCATCGTATACTAGGTCCTTCACAATGTGTGCTACTCTAATTGTTCCCTGGCAACTTGCGGTCTGGTTGTTAGTTTTTTCGGAAATGCTGAAAACACGAAATCGAACAAACGCAAGCTCACTCCATCAACCGGGCTGATGGCAGGCACAGCGCTTGCGGGGTCAGCCCGCGACCTCGTAGACCAAAGCGTTTGCAACCATGCCTTAAAAGAAGCTTGCTCTGCATAATCGTACCCTACATAACTTACGGCAATGACCCCGAACAAAAAGCCGTCTGCAATCCGAAATCAAGAGAAACTTGCTATTCTGGGTAACTGTGACCTGCTGAACAATGCGCATTAACACAATGCCAGCCAACTGTCTTCAACAAGAGCCTGTTACCATGCGCCTACCTTGAAGGCCATGAACTTGTGATAGGGCTTGGGCGCCCAGGCGTATATTTCGATACTCTCTCGCAGTGCGATGACGAGAAACTTGATCCGCTCGAACTTGACAATCTTGAAGTGCACGGCGCCGTTGAGGTCGCCCACGTTGATCCAGCCGTTCCTTCTCTCCACCTGCTGCTGTGGTCACAGAACATCAGACGTCAGAGCCCCATCACGGCGGCAGGTGACTGGATGGCGCTGTCACGTGTCCGGTGGCGCGGCGCGGTCCGCCCTAGAGGCGACACCGGCGCCGATCTGGTGGGATCGGACCAGCCAGCTGCGGTGGCCACCAGCGCGGCTACCAGGCGGCCCCCAGCGCGGCTACCTGCAGCGCGCTGGCTGGTGCGGATACTCCGACACATGGCTAGTGCAGTATTAACCCTCCCCTCCCCACCCTTTAGACCGTGAATCGAGCAGGTCGCAGCAGCAGCGGTACAACGGGCCAGTCTGGCTCCAAGGACGCCGACCATCAGCAGCAGTATAATAGGCCAGCCTGGCTCCAAGGGCGCCGAGCAACAGCATAACAGGCCAGCCTGGCTCCAAGGACGCCGAGCATCAGCAACAGCATAACAGGCCAGCTTGGCTCCAAGCGCGCCGAGCAACAGCATAATGGGCAAGCCTGGCTCCAAGGACGCCGAGCATCAGCAACAGCATAACAGGCCAGCTTGGCTCCAAGGGCGCCGAGCAACAGCATAATGGGCCAGCCTGGCTCCAAGGACGCCGAACATCAGCAACAACATAACAGGCCAGCCTGGCTCCAAGGGCGCCGAGCAACAACCACGGCATAACGGGTCAGCCTGGCTTCCAGGGCGCCGAGCGTCGCGGCAGGGCGACCGCGTCTCACCGACTCCGACTTCAGGATCTTGCTCTTCAGCCAGCTCAGGTAGTAGACGCGTACGCGGTTCTTCTTGCCGCTGATCGTGACCAGTATGTTTTGACCCTCCAGCACCTGGAACCGTGCGTCGTCTGGCTAACGCACGCGTCCCGATGGCTTACACACACACACACAACAGAAGCTGCGGCTCCCAAACAGCTGCAATGAACACGTCAGCATCCCCGCGCCGACAAGGATCCGCACCGGACAATCCGGGGAGCGCGCGACGCACCGGCCCCCAGCGACGACTTGTGGCGGGGCTGCGCCGCGCTCGCGCCTCCACGGGGCACGCCTTGTGGGGACGGGCTCCGGCAGGCACACCGATCATGTTCGCCGCATCGCCTGCCAGTGTGCGTGTGCCTGCACGATCACGTCAGCAGGGGAGCGAGACAGCCTCCACCCGACGCCGCGGCGGTGACAGCACGTCACGCAGGGGATACGCAACAACGCACAACAACAACGCAGGCGAGCTCCCGCCGCCGTCCAGCAGCGCCCGACACCGGACCACGAGCCGGAGGCCGTTGGCGTCGCGCACCGACGGCACCTCACCTCCATCTGCTGGAAGCGGCGCCGAGAGATGAGCTGGTACACCTTGCCCTGGCCCGAGCGGTCCAGCAGCATGAGGCCGTTCTCGGTGCCGATGAGCAGGTTCACGCCTGCGGACGGGGCCAGTCAGCGGCGGGAGACGCTCGCACGGGCGGACGTGCTCGAACCACGCACGAGTGGGCGGGAGTCGCCGGCAACGTGTCCACAGCTCAGCAAGCTGGTCTCAGCCATGCGGATTCTGAGGAAACACAACCGACATTCATCGGGCCCTGCGGTGAAATCGGCGCCACTGAACCGCTCCCCACTTACGCCCACTCCGCGAACCCACCCACGACAGGCGCGTCCTACCCCACATCTCCGGCGCCGCCCCTCCCCCCCCTCCTCCCCCCTCCCCGCCCAGTGGCAGCACTCACCCCAGAGTGCGGCACACAGGATCTCCGAGTTGAACCTCTTCTTGTACTTGCGGATCTCGGGCGTGTCCGTGGAGCTGACCTCGTGGCCCGTGGGCGTCACGTTCACGTTGATGTGGCTCTCGCGCCGGCTGCTGCCGCCGGCGCCGAAGCCGAACGTCAGGAACGACTTCTGCTTGTGCTGCAATTGGAGCGGCGACTGAGCCGGCTGGCCCACAGCCGAGCGGTACTGAAACGGACCACGCCAACGGCCGGGGTCAGCATCTCACGGCCACGTCTGCTATGGTGGCCGAACATGGTGCTTTGTGGAGGACAGTGGTAGGCTTCCGACGACCATCTGACGCTTTCGTACGGGTATAAAACAGAAGTGCTTTGCACGCGAAAGTAAACACCTATCGCTCGACAAAGTTACTGCACTACAGTGGTGAAAATAATGCAAATGAAGCTTTGAAGCTCTTCTGATGAAATCACCATATAGGACGAGACTCACTTTGTCAGATAAATGATAAAGAGCTGGGCTCCAGCGCCACAAAGCACTCACTACAGCGACAAACTGTCATGCAAGACCACGTAGTAGCCACTCCCAAACCCGAGCGGCTGCCAGGCAGTGACCCCACACCTTCCGCGCCATCGTCTGTACCGAGAGCGCAGACCCGCATGTGTAAGCAGAAAGCCACAAAGGAGCGCGACGCAAACCCGGCCGCAAAACAGGCATGCCTTCCCGAATTTCATGACAATTTTACATCACGGAACAAATCGACGACCCCAGGCGGTGTGAACGAGGCCGAGCGGACTGAATTTTGCCGCATCCAGGAAAGGAGAGATCATTATGCCGTGCTGGGAATTGTTGCAGTGTGCTGTTAGGAAGGGCAGGTGTACTGCGGCGGCCGCGAATCGGCACAGGGAAAGACCCGTCGACACGCTGGCGCGGCTCAACGGAAAGCAATCAAACCCCGATGCCCGGAGGAAGCCTGTGCGGAGCCGGCAAGGGCACACCGCACACAACAGGCGGCGTAATTGAGGCCAGGATGCGGTGACCCCGACGGCCCGGATGCGGCAGTGTTTTCCCGACCCGGGCACACGCTCGTGTGACTGGCGGCATGCCGCGGCCGTGCGAGGCCGTGCCCCCGCCCCGGCACGGGCGCCGCTGCGGCTCTGCGCACCGGCGGCGGCGACTGTACTCACGGGGTGTGCGGGCCGACGGCGCAGCAGGCGCCGCGCGGGTTAGTCGACACGCGCCACCCCATTATCATGCAACGAAACAGACAGCGTTAGTGAAACACGCCGGGCGCGCGGCCGGCGCGGGGCGGCGCACTGCCGGCCGCCCCGCGCGCCGGCGTCGGCCAACCGCGCCGCTCACAGGGGTGCCGCACACGCGCAGCAGGGGGGGGGGGGGCATTTTTACGGGGGATGGAGGCCGCGACGACTACATGGTGGCGCCACGCCCACATACAGAGACGTGGCCCGTCAACGCCAGAGCTCAAACTGCGGAATACGTCACGACGGCAGCCGGCCGCCGGCACTGGCGACATGTTAGCCGGGGCTCACTGGGCAAGCAGACGACCTGCCGTCACCTCGCCGGGGCCAGAGCGGGGCCGCCTGGCGCCGAGCTCCGGCGGCCCCCGCCGGCCGTGGCTGGCCCGGGCTGACCACAAGCCCATCAGCACACAAGCGCCGCCAAGCCAAGCGACAGTCCCGGCGCGCTCCGTCCTGTCTGCACGGACGGCGCGCGACGCTGGCCGCGGTCGGCGCCGGCGGCGGCCGTCCCCGGACGCCCGCAGCGCAGCCCGCTCGCCGGCCCCCTCCCGGGCGTATTAGTGGTCCCTCGGCGGCGGGGCGACATTCCGACTGGCTACACCGCTACGGCTACGGGCGGCCCTATGTACAGGCGCCGGCGCCGGCGCCGGGGCGGGCCGTACGCACCTCCTCCGACGTCGACTTGTCTAGGTGGCGGCCGTTGCCCGGGCTGGAGCTGGTCTGTAACGGAACGACATGCGGGCTCATGGCGTGCACAGCGCCGGGCGCCGGGCGGCACGTGACCACGCCGTAGCCGGAGGCGACACGGGCGCGGCAGCCTCGCCGGCGGGCGGGACGGGCGCGTCTTTGAGGGATTTCGCAGTTTGTACAGAATGCTGCGCATCTCATCGTGCGGGCGTTTCGGTAAGAAAGGGTGATCCAACACGCACTCCCGCATTTCAAGAGCACAGCCCAGCCTCCATTGAAGCTGAAACATCCGAAACCACACGGGTTCAATCAGCAGATTGTCTGCTTGGGAATAGCTCCTGTTTCAACCGAGAGAGATCAGCTGCCATCGAGCGGCCCAGCGTCACTCGATCCGACCCTCCCCGGCAGCCACCGGCGGCGCCAGCGCGCCCAGCCGGAGGGCGGGTGCCCACCTGCGGCAGCAGGTCGGGCAGCACGGTGCTGGTGCGCGAGCCGGGCGTGCCCACCGGGCCCGGAGACGAGTCGGCGTGCCTGTGGCGCTGCTCCTCGCGGTTCTGCCGGCACGTCACGTGGCGTCAGGTCGGGCCGGGGCAGGTGGACGCCGTAGCCGGGGGCGGGCGGCGCACGCGCGACAGCCTCGGTGGCGGGTGTACCGCGGCGGTGCACGGGTTCACCCAGTGCGGTCGCTCCAGGTCCACACACGAGGGTGCGGCGTCACACGCGGCACGATCACATGCAGTCGTCACGTCGGCGAAGCACGCGCTCAGCATGTCAACAACGCGCCTCAGTGCGCCCGACAAAACACGGGTCAGTTTGCCGTCAGACATGTCACCAAACATCACCCAAGCGCAAAAACACGCCATATTTACGCTTACCCAAGCCACAGACACGCAAACGGGCGCAGCGATTGCTCACACAGTCTGTTACTACCCCAGGCACTCCACATCACCTTCCCAGCAACACCGCGGGCGCTCCGCGACGGCGGACCGCACAGCACACTGCAGCACCCGCCAGCAAGCCCGCTGAGTCTGCACAGGAAACAGGTCCCCGGCGCCGCCTCTCTCCCTCGCTCGCGCCGCGGTGCACCGCCGTCTCAACACGCAGGCGTGTTAGTGCATGCGAGTGCACGAGAGCGCGATAACTACACACACACACACACACACAGACGGTCGGTCAGCCCGGGTCAGCGCTGTCCACATGCCACACGGCGGCGGACCGGCCGCCGGCGCCCGCATGCAGCCCATGCGGCGGCGGCGGCCGGCCGGTTAGTGGCGGGCCGTCGGCGGCGGCCGGGCGGGCGGCGGCCGCTGCGGCGCGGCTGTACCTCGAACGGCGCCGGCTCCGAGCACGACTTGGTCAGCGCGCGGGGCGCGCGCGCGCCGCCCAGCTCGAGGTCGGTCTTCTCGCGGCGGCGCACCCACTGGCGGAGGCGGGCCGGCCGTGCCCGGCTCGGGCGCCTCGAGCGCCCGGCGCGGCGGCGGCGGGTGGGGCCGGCCGCGCGCCGCCGCCGCCGCCGCCAGCGCCGACTCCGACTCGAGCCGGCGATGCTGGCGCGGCCGGCCGCCCGGCTCGCCCCCCGCCGCCGCCGCCGCCGCCGCCGGGAAGAAGCGCTTCATGTCCCAGTCGCGCAGCAGTTGCTCGTGCTCGGAGAAGCGCTGCTGTCGGGGGAGCGTGGCCCGTCACCACCCGCCACCGGGGCATGGAGTGGGCTCGTGGAACCGCCGCCACCGGAAGGCCACGGAACGGGGAGATGGGAGAGAGCGTTGGGGGGGGGGGGGGCGACGGAGGGGAGGAGGCAGACGTATAATGAACTGCCGGTTTGAAGTGTCAGAGGGGTGTGATCGAAGAGGACCCGACGGAAAAGTGTGAGCCACCACCAGCAAAACCAACTCCCGCCACCAAACAGAGCAAAACAAGGCGCAAGGCACGCCCCAGAAGAGACGGTAACACAAACAAACCGATTTTTCAAGCTACGAACGTAAATATCGTGCGAGGGCGAACAAAACGGGCAACGCTGCAGGCCTGTGAAGACTCATAGCAGGCAGAGAATGTACGGCGTCGATGACGGGCGTGCAAGCGGTCTCCGTCGGGATATACCCGCAGGACTCGCCAGTAACAGAGCTCCGAGGCGGCCGACGCCCGGATAACCGAGTCGGCGGCCGAGGAGCATCGGCTCCGCCTCTCCCCAGCCGGGAGCTTTGGATTCGAGCCCTCTTCGTGAGAGCGGCATCGCGTCAGCGGTCTCGCGCTTCGTGGCACTGCCGGAGCCGCGCCGTTCGGTCGCGTCCAGCCGTCTTCAGAGTGCCAAGCCCGCCAGTTCTGGCGCTGCGTCGCTGCCTGTCCGGCGCGCCACCGCCGCCCCGGCCAGACCCGGCGCTACCGGCGCAGCCGTGCGCGCCGTCGTCGCCGGACGGGCCGACAAGCCGCAAGCACAGAACAGCCGCACAGACGGGCGGACAGGAGCTCACAGACAGGCAGTCACAGCGCACAGACGCAGACAGACAAACATCCACAAACGGGAGACCACAGACGGGCAGACCCACTCGGGACTCGTCGCCAGGCAGACCCGGATCCCGGCCACGCGGACCGGGACCCCTGACCGGCGGACCGGCCCGTGCCGACGGACGGTCCGCCGGGTGGCGGCCGGTCGGCGGCCGCCACCCGACCCTACTCACCCGACGCATCACCAGCGTGCCGTCGCCGTCCTCGTCGGGCGTCGGCGGCAGCGGCCGGTTCGGCGGCTGGCTGGGCGGCTTGCGCACGGGCGGCTCACCCGGCTCGCGGTCGGTGCTCTGCCACTGGGCGCTGCCGACGGGCGGGGCGCGTCAGGGACGAGCTCGCAACCGCCGCTGGCCAGGCGCGCCGGCCACCACCGGACAACGCTCAACAGGTGTAGTTTAAGTGTCACGATGCGGTGGCAAGGAAACAGACGAACTGCGTCACAAAACAACTCCAAAATCAGCTACCCTACACCAACTGAATCCATAACCGGCTCAGTCGTAGCTCGAGTGAACGTTGCACGCCACGTGGGTCACAGCGGGCGCGCAAGCTGCCCCAGTCCTGCCGCGGACACCAGGGCTTCACAGTGGCGCTGGCACACACCCCACCAGACATACGGCCAGAGCCCAGTGCGCCCCGCCCCGTCCCCGCGGTCCCGCGCCGCCCGTCCCCACACTGACAGCGGCTTGGGCGAGTCGGACGCGAGCAGCGTGCCGTCGTTGCGCGGCGGCCCCGGCTCCTCCTCGTCGCTGCTGTCCTCCTGCCGGTCACGCCGTCACGCCGGGGTCATGCGCAACGCGGGGACGGGCCGGCGGCTCGTCACACAGGTCAGACAACGCCGCTCGGTCGTTCCTAACAGCGGCCGTGAGTCGCACGAGGGCGTGAAGACGCGTCAACAGTCCCAGTTCGGATGGAGCGGGGACATTTGTCCGGGCAGCCATGAAGTGTCAGCTCACATCACATGTAAGCGGACAGACAGGCAGCTGGGAAGTGACATAGAGCAACGACATTGCCAACCTTTTCGCATCAAGTGGAATCTCTGAGGACCTACCAAGCCCCACGAGGCAAACACTACCTGAAGTCGCAAAGGCTGTCTGCATATCGAGCAAAACAACCACTCACCGTCGCGGTCCACGTCCTAGCTCGCCGACCATAAGCACGTCGCCGAGCTCAGCGTGATTAGGACAACAGGCCGCGTCCACAGACCGGGAGCGCTCACCTGGACTGGAGCATGGTTGTTGCCGTTGGCCGTGGCTGAGGCTCGGGAGGAGGCGGCCGCCCCCAGTCCGCCCAGCTCCTTCAGCTGGGCGGCGAACACGTCCAGGTCCTGGTCGCGGAGGAGGCGTGGGAACTGTGACGTCACGGCAGCACACGGCCCGCTTCACGTCCTCACTGACATTGCGTGATGATGCTGACAGGTGTTTTAACTTGAGCGGCGGATCTACTCGTCCAGAAAATATCTCCCCCTCCCCAAAAGGAGCCCGCATCAGTTGGAAATGAAGCCCAGCGCATACGCAATCACCTGTGACGAATAGCCAACCAACATATTGAGGGTTTTTAAATATCTTGACAATCCATGAAACCGCTAATCGGCAAAAATGTACTGAGACTGTCGGTTGACGTGGCTCGGCTAACAGCTGGCTGGAGTTCCACGTCACGATCTCGGGCGGCGACAGCCATGAGTATGAGCCCACATCACTGACCTGCGGTCGTCTGGGCGCCGGCTGAAAACAAGGTCAGCGCGTTAGCGACGCCTTCCGTCCATGTTGGCATACCTAAACTACGTCGTGACTGCAGGTAACTCGGTATCGAGAGCATCGCTAGACAAACACGCAGTCGCGCCCGGACTGGGTTCGATGGCCTGGGGGGGGGGGGGGGGGGGGGCAACGGCGTCCTCCATGCTGCAGCGCCAGCCGACTGGGTTCGACGGGCTGGGGGCAACGGCGCCCTCCATGCTGCAGCGCCAGCCGCACGACTCGACACAGCGCTCCACACCAACATCCCGGACACCACAACAGCGTTCTTTAAGTCAACGGCCACCACTGGCACGGTGTTTGTCGCAGCAAGCAGCGGTGCCGACGAGGCCGCCCGCGCACCGCGCCCAAGTCTGCGGCTACTTGCCGGGCCTCGCCGCACCCGCTGGTCGGCACTCACCTCCGGCTTGCGCGGCGGCGGCTTGAACTGCTGCGCGGAGCGCGGCGCCGGCTGCTGCGGCGGCGGCCGCTCGTCGCGCGGCGGCGGCGGCAGCGGCCGGCTCGGTGGCGGCGGCTGCTCCGGGTAGCGCGCCGGCAGCGGCGGCCGCGCCGGCGGGCCCGGCTCGGGTGGCTCCTCGCGCTCGCGCTCGCGCCGCCGCCGCTCGCGCTCCTCGCCGGCGGCGGCGGCGCGCCCCTCCTGGATCTGCTGGAAGTTCTTGCGCAGCGTGTTCTCGCCGGGCGCCTGTACGATGGAGGACGGCTCGCCGGCCGTGGCCGTCTCCTCTTCCTCCTCGTTCTCGCTGCCCGAGTAGTTGAAGCTCTCCTCGCGGTCTGCGACCGGACGCGGCCGCGTCAGCACGTGCAGGGGCAAGTTCGGCCATCGGTGAGGAATGGTGATAGATGCGCATGACCCCCCCCCCCCCCCCCCGAAGGGGACACTAGCTGCAGCCGCTGGTAGGTGTGAATGTCATGTCTCTCTAACATCACTAGCCCGCCATCCGATCTGACTCGCTAGAGCGTGTTATTCGCCACCACCTGCATCCTCCTCTCAAGCTGTCAAACTACCTCCGTTTACAGGACTTCTAAACAGGCAGAGAGACACCATCCGACAACCTACGCACACGCACCAACCTCACAACCACGACACCGACCTCCACCTCTACAGGCCGCCAGCCCACCAAAACGCCAGTTTCCACGTCACCGACGCAACGCAATCAAACCTGACGAAGCGCCCGCGCCACCAGCGCCGCAGCGGGTGCAAGCGCGCCCCGGGCCGCCCCCGGGCCTACCTCGCTGAGCCTTGTGCTTCTTCATGCGATCGATGTGGTCCTTGAGCTGGATGCGCACCTGGCGCTCGGTCGGCTGGTCCTTGATGAACGGGTGCTTCAGCAGCTGGTCCGTGTACGCCCGCTGGTGGTAGTCCTGCCGGCCGCGCGAGTCAACACGTGCCGGTCAGTGCCGTCGACTCCCAGCGACACGCGCGCGACACGGGTGTGTGGCGCCACCACTGGCAGTCGGAGGAGGCGGGAATCTAAACCCGCGGGTGGTTAGGCACCACTGCGGGTCATGGTCAACGTCAAACGAACAAGCGAGCACAAGAGCACGCATATCAGCGAGAAAAAAACAGGCGCCAATGTGACAGACAACGTCGGCACCAGAGACAGTCGGCACATTTCTGACTTCTCAAATGTATTCTGGGGCGTGGCACACGAGTGACCTTGAAAAGAAATCAAGACCGCAGCATTTGGCCTCAGCGGACACTGCGTCGCGGACAGGCACGGACAGACATCACCAAACGCTGTACATCAGAGGCATCAAGCACGGTGTATACACCCTCATGGGCCACGCAACACCAGTCAGCATCTCTGGGAAAGTAGACGCTTTCTCCGTAACGCGACGGCCAGCTCCGCGCCGCCTCACCCACCTTGATCAGCGTCGTCTCGATGAAGCTGTGGAACTTCTTGCTCCATTTCTTGGTCTTGAGCCGCGGCGGCGGGTTGCGCGGGATCAGGAAGAGCGCGCGCATCGGGTGCATGTCGGAGAGCGGCGGCTGCGACTCGGCCATCTCCAGCGCCGTGATGCCCAGCGACCACAGGTCCGAGCGGTTGTCGTACGTCGCCTCGGGGTTCTCGTCGCAGGCGATCACCTCGGGCGCCATCCAGTAGGGCGTGCCGATGAAGGTGTTGCGCCGGCCGATGGTGCGGTCCAGCTGGGCGCTCACACCGAAGTCCACTGCGGCGCCGCGGGGGCACGCGGTCAGACGGCCGGACAGCGCACACGCACGGGGCGGAGCACGGCTGGGCAGCGAGGGGGCGACAGCGCGCCCGAGGCAACTGTGAGACGCGGTGGGCGGCCAAGCCCAGCCCGACAGGCCGACAAGAGCCCCGTGGCGACACCGACAACAGACAGTGTCCGCCGCCGGGGTCGCCAGCGGCGCAGCGGTGAACGCGTCGGCTGCAGTGGCATCCTCGAGCGAGTCGGCGTCGAGCACGGCTGACGGTTTGTGCTCCGGCTCAGACACTGGCGGACAGCCCCGAATGCGATGGTCCGGCCGTTGCCGCGGCCGTTCAGTGCCCTGCCACGGCAGTGCCGTGCCCCCACCGACAGCCCCGCAGCTCGGCGGCCGGCCACTCACCCAGCTTGACCTCGGCGTTATCGGTGAGCAGCACGTTCTGGCCCTTGATGTCGCGGTGGATCACCTTGCAGGCGTGCAGATGACTCAGGCCGCGCAGCATCTCGCGGCAGATGTAGGCGATCCACTCCTCCTTCAGCGACTGGCCCTTCGTGGCTGCGGGCGGCCGCGCCGGGTCAGCACGGACCGCCTCGGCCGGCCGGCGCTCAGGCCGGGCGGCGGGCGACGGCGGCGCGCGGAGCCCCGACAGTCACACGCAGGGACTCAGCCAAGGCGAGGCGACACGGCCGATATGGGTCATCTTGCGGCGGCTGGTACTGCTCAGTGACCTTTACAATATGTGACGGAGAAGAGAACGCTTCGCACAAGCCCTCATCCAATGAAAGTTCGCACGACAAATACATTAAATCCAACTTTCGCACGTTAATCAATGCGGAGGGTAAGGCGACTGATGGCTGTCATCTCTAAGATGACCAACACTCGTCTAATCCATGATAAAGCTAGTTCCGAAATACTTCTGGCCTTACACGAACGAATTCAGTCTATGTACAGCTTTCTCCCTCCAAAACGACGCTCTGCAGCAAAACGTACGCCAAGGCCGCAAGCTGGCCGCCCTTCCCCGCCGAGCATCTAGCGCCGAGGGCGGCTGTCTAAGACGCGGCAAGCTACCTAAGCCTGTCTGGCCATTTCGGGCGCCAATGCTGGTCAAAAACCGATCGCAATTCGAACACTGAGCGGCAGGCGTCATGACAGGCAGTTCACTACCTGTGCGAGGCGGGAGGCACGGGCGGGCACCATGGAGGAGAACGGAATGGGTCTCAGTCCAGTCAACACTCAGCCCGACGTCATTGTATAGACCTAACCCCACGGAAGACGTCACATTGTGTTCATCACGTCAGCTGAATACGCCATCTCACATTCGTGTGGCACAGCCGGCGGCAGCGCTGAAGGCGCCACTTGTAAGCATTCGCATATGAGCGAGCTTACACACACACACGCGTTCGGTAGTATACAAACGCCCACAGAATACCGCTGCGTCGAATGCCTTCAAGTTCGGTGGCCAAATACGCCACCACAGCTGCGGCAGAGCACTAGCGCGCCTACGGAACGGCCATCACACGCCGTGCCACGTGACCTCGAACGACACCCATGCCGCGACGGACGCGGACCCCGGGACCGAAGGGTGCTTACATTTGACGAGGTCGGTGACCGACCCGGCGCCGCAGTACTCCATCACCAGCTGAAAGCAGAGGCCCAGAGGTCAGACCGGCTGGCCGCGCGGCCGAACGGCACGCACCAGGGGCGGGGGGGGGGGCATCTCCCTCCCCCCCCACACACACACAGACACACACCCTCCTCGTCAGAGACACGGAGACGGCTGACTGCCAGCCAGTGAATGCCTTTCCGCAGACCGGCCTGGTGGCGCCGCACAGCCAGTGACACTACGGTGCTGGGTCACCGAACTAAACTGCCTCGAGACGCCAGAGGGCTTTGAACGCAGCACAACTGGGTGCGTTGAAGCGTCAAGACTCCAGCCACCAGAGAGAAGTCCCACAGCTTGAGCTGGTTCTCGGGACGACGCGGCGCCCTGCCGCCCAGCAGGCCTGGCACTTCCTCGGAGTGGTCCGTACCCATAGCTGGTCGTCCTTGCCCGGGGGCGACTTCTTGATGAAAGCGCCGTAGTAGGTGGCGATGTTCCTGTGGTGCGAGTACTGAAAGCAGCGCCGCTGCGTCAGACGCCATCCGCGACGAAGCCCCCAATGGTGGAGACGGCAGCACGCGCTCCAGCGCCGGCTCCCGCCAGAACGCACATGCCACTCGCCGCTGCATTCCGTCAAGGACGAACAGCTCTCCCCTCTGGCAATTACCCATTGGGTAGACTGTCCCCCCCCCCCCCCCCCCCCAAAGCATCTGATTAACCACCAGAACCTCCGACAGAGAACGCCATTTCAGCCGGCCCATTCCCGCACGCGGCACCAGCTTTGAATGAAGCCATTAGCGAAGTGCCGGGGGCGTGGCCCCGCCCCAAACACCAGCCGCTGGCAGGGCGCGTGCGGGGTGCTGCAGCCGGCCGGCGGCCGTCACTGACCGCCGGCCCACCGCCGGACTCCCACATCCATCAGCGTCGCGGGCCGGCCGAGCACACAGTCGAGCACCGGAGCACGGTCGCCCGCGGCCGCCGCTCGGCTCGCTGACGGCGGCGGCCGCCCCGCCCCCGCCCCGACCCCCGCCGACTCACCTTCTTCAGCACGTTAATCTCCAGCTTGATCTCTTCCTCTTCATCCTGCAACGACAGCGGTGGAGTCGTGATTAAAACGCCTTCGTCTGCACGCTCGTTTGCCACACGTCGGACAGCGGGGGCATCCGGCGTCTTCACAGAACGCGTGACTGATGAACGACTTACGCGGCTCACTGACTGATAACACCTCAACATCAAATGTCATGCAGATGTCAAATGTCATGTCCAGACGTAACGGTTCCTCCACAATCCGGCCCCGTCTCCCTTCCTCCCCGCGTGCATGGAGTGTGAGCATCCCCGCCGGCAGGACAGTTCCTGCCGTCGTATGCGACAGAGGACACCACCGCCGCCCAACCCACCTCCGTGATATCCATGCACTTGATGGCCGCCAGCTGGCCCGTCTTGGTGTGGCGACCCTGGCGACAGCAGCGACGTCAGCGAGGCGACGGGTCACGTGGGACAACACCGAAGCACGCAGTGGGTGAGGCACCGAGACCCAACGTCAACGTTGGTATCTAATCTAATCGTAATCTAATGTAATCGGGCACAATGCCGATTGATCTACTGCGTGGACTGATCACAAATGACCGAACGTAAACGTAAGCCCGGATCGGGCACAGTGCCGATGGATCTACTGCGTGGACATATCACAAATGAGCCCGATTTCTTGGTAGAAAAATGGGATGTACTGCAACGGAATTTTCACCCTTCAAGGGGTTACTTAGCGAAGTTTCAGAGCTTACTTTCCGAATGCCCTATTCTGGTAACGCCTGCACGCGCTCAGCGTCTGCCGTGGAACAAATACTAGACCTCATTAGCCCAATGAGCAACATAATTCACATCGCGACTCCAATTAGCATGAACAGAAAGGGCGGCACATCTCCTGATTCCAAATGGCATCGTGAGGAACCTCACAAATCCACCGAGCGGGCTGCGGAGCCGTCACGGTAACTCAGCCGCGACTTATAGTGATCCCATCCGTACTCTAGTGATCCCCAGCCGTACTTCAGATTTCAGCAGATTTGCCGCAAACATGGTCTAAATGACGCAAACTATTTTGTGACTTTGAGCACCACATCTCTCGAGTAGGCGTTTTGAGGCAATGCACGTGGAGAACCGATGGCCGTTACCAAGACCTTGGTCATAGTTTAAGAAAAGAGTCCGGTGCGATGAAACCGACATGACAGACCTCTAACCATGTAAGTCAAATATCACTCAGCGCATCCTGCGCATAAAACTTATGCCTGACACCCCATACATTTTGATAGTTCTCTAAACGTCACAGTACCGACGAAGATGTGACCATTACAACGGAAAACGAGAATCTAGTGAATTACACGCGATCAAGCGAAAAACTTCGACGGCTCCCCCACCCCCCTACCCGAACGTACCCGAAGAGACCGACGGTTTGACACCGCCAGTGACGAGCAACGTAAAAGTAAAGCTCAGCGCACCCCCGACCGCCCGACGCTTCTCGTCCGGGTGGGAAGCACGGTCACCGCCCCTGGCCATGCCGCCGATCGCCGACACAGTCATCGGTGCACCAGTGAGTCAGAGACGCCAGATAGCGCCGCCTCGCCGCTGACGCAGCCGCGGCGTTCGGTCAAACCCGTTCTTCAGGCCGTCCTGCGGCCGGCGTCGCCAGCGTTAATGCTTCGCCGACCAGCGTCGCGGTCCAGCTCATGCCGTTCACTCGAGCCGTGGCCAGCACGGCCGGCACCGGACCCGGCTACGTCACCCCGCCCAGAGCGCGCTCTCCGCCCGCAGCGGGCCGCGCTGGCCGCCGTGTCTTCACCCCGTCACGGCGCAGTTTGCGGCTCGTCCCCACGTGACCACGGGCTACAGAACCTATCGCCCTCTCTCCTCCCACGGTCCAGTCGGAGCCATCGCGGGCTACTCGGTCTATGCCCCGCTCGTTGCTCTCACGGTCTAGGAGTGAGCGCGGGCTGCCGGGCCCGGTCCGCCACACAGCCCGGCACGCCGGGCACACGGTTCGCCCGGGAGGTCACGGATCACCGAGACTACCGTCCTCCACCCCCTCCCCCGCCGTCCTCACGGACCAGCGGGCGGCGGTGAGGTCGTTTCCGGTCGAGCAGGCGGCGGCGCGGGCCGGGCCGGCCGGGCGGCGGCGCGGCCGCAGCCGGCTACCTGGCGCGCGTCGCCACCCCGGCCGGCCGTATAAGGCGGGGCGGCCGCCCCACCGCGACCTGCACGCCGGCCGGCGCACACAGCCGACTCACCGGCCGACGGGACCGCACACAACCGACTCACCGGGCCGACGGGACCGCACACAACCGACTCACCAGCCGACGGAACCGCACACAACCGACTCACCGGCCGACGAGACCGCACACAACCGACTCACCAGCCGACGGGACCGCACACAACCGACTCACCGGCCGACGAGACCGCACACAACCGACTCACCAGCCGACGGGACCGCACACAACCGACTCACCGGCCGACGAGACCGCACACAACCGACTCACCAGCCGACGAGACCGCACACAACCGACTCACCGGGCCGACGGGACCGCACACAACCGACTCACCGGCCGACGAGACCGCACACAACCGACTCACCGGCCGACGAGACCGCACACAACCCACTCACCGGCCGACGGGACTGCACACAACCGACTCACCGGCCGACGAGACCGCACACAACCGACTGACTGGCCGACGAGTCCCAATGTTTCCAGCACCACCCTCTTCGTTATTGCAAGACAGCTTAAATAGTAAGCATTGGTACACTTTGGACAGACCAGAGACGCCCCCCCCCCCCCCTTTCTCCTCCTACACTGCACCAAAATATATGCCGGAAACGCAGGAGGATTGAAAGGACCGAAAAGCTGCAGCATGAGATTCCGCGAATTGAGGACAGTATGACGAGTTACAGTTGAATTTGTGAACCGGACACACAGCTGTGTGTTCTTATCTGAGTCAAAGGACGTTCAAAATCCTTGCACGCGCACGGAATGGACGCGTAACTAGTTTATCACAGAACCATTACATCTGTCAGTAAATAACAAAATGAGATAATCTTCATGCCGGGGGATATCAAATGACACTGCTGTGGCAACCAGGGTTCAGTTCATACACTGGTATATCACCTGTTGTTACATGATAATCTTATCGCTTAGATTCCCGGGAGGAGTGACTGAAATGGCCCGCTCGTCACAATGCCATCCGTTTTATCAAACCCCTCGTCTAGCCTGACGGCGCCGAAGAGACGAATCGAAGAGGCAGGCCAGAGACGGGCCAAAGAGACGAGTCAAGGAGACAAGTCAAAGAGACGAGCCTGTGTGACAGGATAGGCGCGAATCAGTTTTTGAATCGGTTCCAGTTCTAATATTTCATTCGGTCAAGTGCACCTGATCGAACGTCCCTTGACACACATGGGAATGCTATCAACCGTTCACGAATGGCGCCTCTGTGAAAACCACTGGATAGGTCTCACATTGCAAGCGATCCGATCTCAGTTCGTCACTGAGCAAACACGGGCGAAGAAGCAGCAAATGCGGATCTCGAGCGAGCCCCGATTCCACGATCGGATCGGACTCACCTACAACAGTGGAAGCGTTGCCACTGTGCGTGGTTCAGTGCGTGCGCCTATGCCTGAAAGTTGTCCTGGACCCTCGCCAGGCAAGCGGAGCTTTACCGGTCTTCCGCCGAAGGGCATCGCGCAGCCTGTCATTCCCGGGACAGCCTTACAACCACCAGACGAAAGATGCTGACATTTCGATGCTGAGGTTGAACACTCGTGCACATTGTGTAAATTTAGAGACCCCACCTTTCGCGAGAGGTGACTTTTTGTGGGAATCATGCCGGTCGTATTTCGCATTCAGGCGCCTGATAACGCAGGATTATCGTAGGGTACGCTAAGGGAACTTCCAGCACTGAGTAGCCGTGCCTCATCATTCTGCCTGAAGATAAGCCACCACTCAGTGCAATTACGTTGGTTAATCACATTAGGTGGAGCTAGTACACGCACGTGAAATTATGCAATCACTGGGAGGTGGTGTGTGCCTTTCGTGACCTATTTTGACAAATATTTGTCATCTTAAACGATCTTTGATGCGGTATGACTAGCATTTTGTCGGTTTCTTTGTTTAATTGCCGCAACATACAAAGTGTTTCGAGGCAGCGGGGGTGAGTGTTGTACATGAGGCTGGAGCTGCGCGATCCGATTTGACATGCCACAGGTCACGGTCACTGAAGGTCAGGGTCGACGAAATGATCAGTGTGCCAAGGGCTCCACAATACCGCTTGCCCCCACAGTCATGGCACGCATGGTTCTGACCATGGGAGGGATGTTCGCTTCCACTCATTTTGCCTCGTTAACAGGGAAAATGGTATTGTTCCGATGTTCAGTGACACTAATAAAACACACAGCTTTACGCGACCCATCAAATTCCTGATTCCTGGTTTCAAACATGGCCCCTAGCCCCATCGTTCTTTCTACACAGTAATAGCCCGCCTGGGTTCGGCCCGGCAAGGAAAGGCGATAATAACACCATCTGTCCGACAAGACATAACAGGCTGAGTTACCCGGAGATGAACAACGAGGTGGAAATCAGCCATTTCAGACGCGTCTCACCCGCCAGCTTCTGTCTAAAGAAGATGTAAACTTTTTCTGGCCCAAAAGTGGCCGTGGTCCCACCAACAACCAAACCCGCAAGTGTGCACATGGTCTGCAACGAACAACATAACGGGCCCCGACACGTGAATGCCATCCCGCACACCCAGCTACGAGAGCCTGTCTACACGATCCAGCACCACAGCCTTTGTGTGGGGACTCCGCCAGGCGATGCAGGGATGGCGCCTGCAGCCGCCCTTCTGCGCCTGAAGCGACGTCGCCGCGCCGTGCCTCTCACAGTCCCACGGCCGGCAGTGCAGCCCGCTGCCACGGCGCCGGCCCGGCCAGGCGTGCAGCACAGCCTGCCCGGGCGCCAGCGGCCGGCGCCGTACCCCGGCAGCGAGAGGGTCCGGCGCCCGCCGCCCGCTGCCCACCCCATCCCGCTGCATTAGCTGACATTAGCCGGCTGGTCGCGTCGCAGGAAGGCCACATGACATAAGCCACCGCAGTCCGTCCCAGCGCCGCACGCCCGTGGCCGCGTCCAGACACGGCACACCGCCTGCAAGGCGGGCAGCTTCGACCCCCGTCTGCGGGGTATTTCCTGTCTTCAGAATCATCTCGCGGTCGACCTCACCCAATCCGAAGAGCTTAAGCATCATCCCGCGGTCGACCTCACCCAATCCAGAGAGGGCGCGAAATGCTGGGTGCACGTACGGAGGCAGATAGGTAGCTGTCGTTGACTCGCAATACACTAGCTTCGTTCCATCGGCGCGGTTGAAATGTACCAGCCGCAGCCATTCGACTGGAGCCGCAAGTGCCTGAGCGTTCTGGGTTTG